CTCGCTGGACTCCAGCGCGGTAATTTCCCCGGATATGGTGTCCAGCCGGACTGATAGCGCCTCGGGGCGCGTCCGGCCGGCCGGCCCGTCCAGAAAGCAGTGCACATCGCTCCAGTTGGAGGTCGGCCGGAGCCCTGGGCAGAGCCCTGGCGGCGGGGAGGGGTGGCCATTCCAGGCCTCCAGGCTGGAGTGTCCAGGCCGCCGGGCCCACCGCACTGCAGCCTCGAAACAAAAAGCTGGAACAAAAGTGTGCAGCCGAGGCCGCAGCGCCGTTTGTTAGGTAGTTTGTGAGCCGCCTTTAACTGTCTGTTTGCTGGCTGGAGAACGCTGGAAAAAGGGAGCGGCCCCAGGGCAGTCGGCCTGGAGGGGCCTGGATGGGAACGGCAGCAACGCCACATACGACGCCGTTCTGCGGGGCTGTAAGCCGCGAATCAGGGCCGGGCAGCCCTAGGCAGCCCTAGCCGGCCCCATGTTTGCACTTGTACGGCCGGCACGACCACTCGGACGACTCGGGCCAGGAAATGGCCGCCCCAAGTTCCGTACACAAACTTTGTACAACTCGACGTCAAAAACTTTATTAAGCAATATCGGACCGACCGGACCGACCACGCAGCCAAGGAAAATAAATAGAACGAGGTCGGATTCGAAGTCCAACTTCCGAGGAGATGACTTTCTAGAAAGCGCCGAATGTTGAAGTGCCGTCCCGTTGAGTACCAGGAAACGACTGTCCTGCGCGCTGATGACAGTGCGATGGCTACTCTCGGGACTTGAACCGAACGTGTGACCACACCAATGGATTGCTCTCCTGACGAGGATCCATAGGGGCGGTCACACGTTCGGTTCGAGTCCCGTTTAGCGACTCTGGAGCTCAAAACCCGTCCAGGATTTTGACCGCCTCCACCGGCTTTCTGGCCCACTGTTGGCTCCCTCCGCTTCATCTTACTCCCCATTACTCCGCGTTCATTCATTTGTCTTCGACGTGTCGGCTGCGGCAATAATAACCGTATCGGAAAAGGGCGGTAAAAACACGAGCTGGCTGCCGCGGCACGCCGGCCGGGGAGATGGCAAGGCCATGGCAAGGCCGGCAAGGCATACACAGTGTAGCGGATTGGCCAGTGTCAGGTGCACAGCAGCCAGCCAGGTATCGACAGGGCTGTAATAAATTAGCCCGCTGCCACTCACAGGGCTGGGGTGGCAGAGCGCCAACTCTCTCTCGCACTCGTGGGGCGCGCCGTAGAGCCACGAGAGAGACAGAGCGACGAAGCACCACGCGCGGATCAGACAGAAGGAATTACACTTTGTACGAGTGCAGTGGGAATGGTGCGGGTGGGGAGCGCAGAGCCGGGCGGCGCATATGTAGGGCGCTGGGGCCTCGCAATACGTCACGCACACGGGCACGGCGCACGGCCGGGCACGCCGTCTGTACGAATGCAGTGGAGCGGTTCTCATAACCGTGTAGGAACAGCCGCACCCTCTCTGCTGCAAGGCTGCAGATGCTGCACGCGCGCGGAAGGGTCGGGTCGCGCCGGAGCAAGAAAAGAAGGCTCTGTCCTTGTTCGAACCCCTTCGCTCCGCCACGCCACGCCACGCCACGCCCTGGCCGGCGCTCAATCCTCTCTCCGAGCGGCTCACGCCTCACACCCCAGCGACTCAGACAGACTGAGATCTTAGCGGGCAGTCGGGAGTAGTCGGGGACGCTGGAGTGGGCGTTAATACATTAACACCCCCTCCCCCAGCACACACACGCGTCCACACACGCGCGGGGCTTACAGCAGCTTTCCCGGCCCGTCCCGGCCGCGACACTGCCACCGCGCAGCGCTGCGCGCAACGGCAGCAGCATGTTTTCCCCGCACTCCATCTTCACCTCGGAGTCCGGGCCGGGGGCCTCGGCCGGCGATGGGCGCAGTCGGCGCAGTGCAGCATCTGCGCGGATCGAACGAGCGAGGCGCGCAGAGGGTGCGAAGAACGGGCGAGGCCCACCGCGCCGCGCCGCGCTGAGCGTCATTTGAACTGACTGCTTATTGATGACAGGAAGCACGTGTCGTGCCTCTTGGCTCTCTTGGCAGCGCCGCGGCGGGGCTGGCGGGGCGGAGTGGAGCGCCGAGACGGTAACCACTGATAATTAGTGTTGCCATGGCAACCGCGCCCCGCCACCGCAGCACTCGTCATGCTGTGCCTTGCTGTGCCTTGCTGTGCCTTGCTGTGCCTTGCTGTGGCGTGATGTGGCGTGATGTGCCTGCCGCGCAGGGAGGCTGCCGGAAGCCCTGGCAGTGCTGGCAGGCTGCAGCAGCGTGGAGCCGTGCGCAAGAAAGGCTCGTGCATCGATGTGCTCGTGCAAAGCGTGGGGAAATGAGGGTGAGGGCTTCGGCAGGCACGGGGGTAGTGGCGCGGCACCGACTTCCCCGCTACGCGTAGCGGCGCCGCCAAATCGACACAACCGTTTACCATTATCCGCGTCACGGTGCATTTGGCGCGACTTGCCGCTGCCGATGGCCGGACGGAGGTCGGGCTGACTGACACACTTTCATGAAGTTCTCGGCGAGGGGGTAAACACTTCACGAAATCGTGTACAGACTACTCGGTATTACGCTGTATTACGGGTGTATTACACGTGTATTACGGCCCTAAAATGCCAAAATTTGGCACATTTGACCCAAAAATGGTATTACGATCACGTGTATTACGCGTAATACACGGTTTTTGTGTACAGGGTATTACGCGAGTGGTTACCCCCTCGGTTCTCGGCGACTTGGCCGGCCGGGCGGCCGGCCGTCGCACAGTGGGCCAGAAGACCAGTGGAGGTGGTCAAAATCCCAGATGTGTTTTGAGCTCTAGAGTAGTTAAACAGGACTCCGACTCTGAACCAAACGTGTGACACCATCAATGGATTCCTCGTTCAAAGAGCAACCCATTGGTGGGTCGCACGCTCGGTTCGAGTCCCATTTAGCGACTCTGGAGCTCAAAACGCGTCCGGGATTTTGACCGCCTCCACCGGTCTTCTGGCCCACTGTGCGTCGCCGCCACCTCGTGTTCCCGCGCCCCTTGAAAGGCCGCTTTGATTGCGTCCACATCGGGGCGACGCAGCGCCGCGCAGCGCGGACACGACACGACAGCCGCCAGTAAAAACGAATTTCCCGCCGCTGTGTAAACTAAACTTCGCCATAAACCGGCGCGCGAAACGCGCCGGGATTTTTATTTCCCCGCGGGATTGTGGCGGTTGGTACACTAGGACCGCTCCGGCGGCAAGGCCGCCGCCGTCGTATGTTTTCGACTTGTATCTGGCCGCGCTGCGCCGCGCTGCGCTGCGTGGCGCTGCACCGCAAGTGCTGCCGCTGGTTGCGGCGGTCAGTGCGAGGCTGCAGCGCGTCGCGCCGTCCCGCTCCGTCCCGCTCCGCCAGGGCAGGCCCGCCAGCCCCAGCGCCGCCGGGCATTTGCATACGTGATTAGATGTCGCACTCCGGCCTGCGCCGCGGCCTGGGCGAGCTGGACCGGCGTGCTGGACCGGCGTGCCTGGTCGGTCGCCAGTCAAGGCACAGCGGACCATTCCGCAGCGCAGCCACTCCGCCCGGCTTTCCAGCGGCGGCGGCGTGGCTTACAGGCCTGGAGCCTCCAGCGTGGCGGCGTGGCTTACAGGCCTGGAGCCTCCAGCGTGGCGGCGTGGCTTACAGGCCTGGAGCCTCCAGCGTGGCGGCGTGGCTTACAGGCCTGGAGCCTCCAGCGGCGGCGGCGTGGCTTACAGGCCTGGAGCCTCCAGCGTGGCGGCGTGGCTTACAGGCCTGGAGCCTCCAGCGTGGCGGCGTGGCTTACAGGCCTGGAGCCTCCAGCGTGGCGGCGTGGCTTACAGGCCTGGAGCCTCCAGCGTGGCGGCGTGGCTTACAGGCCTGGAGCCTCCAGCGTGGCGGCGTGGCTTACAGGCCTGGAGCCTCCAGCGTGGCGGCGTGGCTTACAGGCCTGGAGCCTCCAGCGTGGCGGCGTGGCTTACAGGCCTGGAGCCTCCAGCGTGGCGGCGTGGCTTACAGGCCTGGAGCCTCCAGCGTGGCGGCGTGGCTTACAGGCCTGGAGCCTCCAGCGTGGCGGCGTGGCTTACAGGCCTGGAGCCTCCAGCGTGGCGGCGTGGCTTACAGGCCTGGAGCCTCCAGCGTGGCGGCGTGGCTTACAGGCCTGGAGCCTCCAGCGTGGCGGCGTGGCTTACAGGCCTGGAGCCTCCAGCGTGGCGGCGTGGCTTACAGGCCTGGAGCCTCCAGCGTGGCGGCGTGGCTTACAGGCCTGGAGCCTCCAGCGTGGCGGCGTGGCTTACAGGCCTGGAGCCTCCAGCGGCGGCGGCGTGGCTTACAGGCCTGGAGCCTCCAGCGTGGCGGCGTGGCTTACAGGCCTGGAGCCTCCAGCGTGGCGGCGTGGCTTACAGGCCTGGAGCCTCCAGCGTGGCGGCGTGGCTTACAGGCCTGGAGCCTCCAGCGTGGCGGCGTGGCTTACAGGCCTGGAGCCTCCAGCGTGGCGGCGTGGCTTACAGGCCTGGAGCCTCCAGCGTGGCGGCGTGGCTTACAGGCCTGGAGCCTCCAGCGTGGCGGCGTGGCTTACAGGCCTGGAGCCTCCAGCGTGGCGGCGTGGCTTACAGGCCTGGAGCCTCCAGCGTGGCGGCGTGGCTTACAGGCCTGGAGCCTCCAGCGTGGCGGCGTGGCTTACAGGCCTGGAGCCTCCAGCGTGGCGGCGTGGCTTACAGGCCTGGAGCCTCCAGCGTGGCGGCGTGGCTTACAGGCCTGGAGCCTCCAGCGTGGCGGCGTGGCTTACAGGCCTGGAGCCTCCAGCGTGGCGGCGTGGCTTACAGGCCTGGAGCCTCCAGCGTGGCGGCGTGGCTTACAGGCCTGGAGCCTCCAGCGTGGCGGCGTGGCTTACAGGCCTGGAGCCTCCAGCGTGGCGGCATGGCTTACAGGCCTGGAGCCTCCAGCGTGGCGGCGTCGCGGTGAACGGCTCCGCCTCAAAGCTCCCCCTCGCTGTTGCAGGTGCTGCTGGGCGGCGGCCGGCGCCACTTCCTGCCCAAGGTGGCGCGCGACCCCGAGGCGCCGCACGAGGAGGGCCGGCGCCTGGACGGCCGCAACATCGTGGACGACTGGGTGCGCGACAAGAAGAAGCGCGGCCTGCACGCGCAGTACGTGTGGACCAAGGCGCAGCTGCAGGCCGCGGCCGCCACCGCCGCGCCGTCCGCCGCCGACAACATCGCCGACCCGCAGGCCTTGCCGCCCAACGTGCCGCAGCCCGTGTCCACCAGCAGCCAGCGCCCCGACTACATCCTCGGTGAGTGCCCGCCCCGCCTCGCTCAATGAAACTAGAACCGAACGTGTCACCCCGCCAATGGATTGCGCACCGAACGAGGAATCCATTGGTGGGGTCACACCGGGTCACACGCTCGGTTCGAGTCCCATTTAGCGACTCTGGAGCTCAAAACGCGTCTAGAATTTTGACCGCCTCCACCGGTGTTCTGGCGTACTGTGCTCCTCTTTTATCGCAGTGGTGGATCCAGGTGCGTACCTTGGGTGGGGGGGGCACTTTTTGTCCATTACAGGGACAAGTATTTTTTTCTGCATGCCTTCCAGGTGGTTTTCTGGGTGACATCGCGGGGAGGGCGACAACCCGTTTGTCCCCATGCGCGTTTTGTTGCGTGATTTCCGCCGGGCGTGTCAGTCTGTTGACTTCGTTTTTCGTTTCGTAATTCCTCATCGACGCCAATGTATTGGCCGTCCAAAGCCGCGCTGCGTGCGCCAGCGTGCGCCAGCTCCGCCCTGCCCTAAAGGATTATCCAAGAGCGCACATTTTCCGTGTGCAGCGTTGTTTTCGAAAAAAAAAATTCAGGGAACGCGGCGTGTTTGCTGACGGCGCTGGGAATGAAACAACAGGAACGAAAAAGAAATGGCGGCATGCGGGGCAACATGGCGCTCGCGGTGCACGCCGTGCGCGCGCACTGTGAGATGTTGCTTAGCTCGCGGTCAAACTCGTCTTTGCAGCTTGTGTTTGATGATTTTTTTTTCAGTCTTTTTTGTTTTTTGTGCGCGCCTCTGCTTTAGGTGCTGCAGCAGCGCTGCGTCCCGGCCAATGCCGTCCCGCCCGTCTCCCTCATCCCTGGGCCACTTAGACCCCATCATGCACATTCACGTTATTTTTTATTTATTTTCTATTTTTTTCTCTCACACATTGGGGAGCGGATTTTTCACTCATCGCCTGGAAAATACAGGCAATCTCTGCGTCGCCCCCAGCCAGCCTCGCAGTCCTCCCACCACGGCGTGGCGAGTGCTTTTATTTTGGCAGTGGCCCGCCCCGCCCCTCCCGTAACCACTTGAGTCCTCCACGTGTCGTCGCTGCGAACGGATCCCAGAACGACGTGGAAACAATTACCTCACCGACACTGCAACGACGTTCGTCGGAGTGCGCGGTTTTTTTCTGTCGTTTTTATAGTTGTTGCCGTATTTTCTCTGGCGACATCAAAAAGAACGCCGCGCGCGCAGCATGCCGTGTCGGTGTGCACGCCGCACAACGGGGAAACAGGGAAACACCGCCACTCGCCACGACGCGGGCACTCACACACTCACTCACACACACATACGCACACACTCTCACACTCACTCACACACACACACTCACACACGGTCACACACACTCACTCTCACACTCACATGCGCACACAATAACCCGACACCACAGCGCCAGTGGGCGGCCCGACTCGGCCCGACTAGACAGCAAGACAGCCTACAAGCCCATCCAGCCCCATCTAGCGCCACGCTAGCGCCATCTCGGCCGCACAATACAATCGCCTGAGGAGGCTGCAGCGCCACGCTGCGCTGCCGGGGCCGCCAGGGCCGCCGGGGCCGCCGGGCCCAGGAGGCGCCGTCCTCTTATTGTCGACGTCATAATGATGTCGCCGTCGTGACTCCGGCCGGGAGGAGGGGGGATTTGCGACCCCCCGCCGCGCCCCGCCGGGCGGCCTTCCCGGCGATGAGAGTTTCCGGCCAGATTTACGTATCTCGCCGAGCTGCTAACGACCTAAAAGGTTCGATGGCGGCGGCGCGGCCAGGCACGCCGTCAACTTGGCTGGCGGCCGTCCCAAGGCGCAGTGCGGGGGGGGGGGGGGGGGGGGGGGGGCGTGTAAGGGCGTGTGAGACGTCAATAGCGGACTGCTTGAGGGGGGCGGGGGCCGAAATCGCGGCCAACCCCCTCCAGGACCCTCCGGGACCCTCACGGACCCGGAGAAGAAGGCGCTCTTGTAGTCGGGGACGGCGGCGCCGGGACGCGCGCGGCGCACCGCCGTGTATCCACCACGGATGGGATTGGCTGTCTTTATCAGGACGTGACGCGCCCGTCGGAGCAGCCAGTCCAAGCAGCCAGCCCAAGCAGCCAGCCCAAGCAGCCAGCCCAAGCAGCCAGTCCAAGCAGCCAGCCCAAGCAGCCAGCCCAAGCAGCCAGCCCAAGCAGCCAGCCCAAGCAGCCAGCCCAAGCAGCCAGCCCAAGCAGCCAGCCCAAGCAGCCAGCCCAAGCAGCCAGCCCAAGCAGCCAGCCCAAGCAGCCAGCCCAAGCAGCCAGCCCAAGCAGCCAGTCCAAGCAGCCAGCCCAAGCAGCCAGCCCAAGCAGCCAGTCCAAGCAGCCAGCCCAAGCAGCCAGCCCAAGCAGCCAGCCCAAGCAGCCAGCCCAAGCAGCCAGCCCAAGCAGCCAGTCCAAGCAGCCAGCCCAAGCAGCCAGCCCAAGCAGCCAGCCCAAGCAGCCAGCCCAAGCAGCCAGCCCAAGCAGCCAGCCCAAGCAGCCAGCCCAAGCAGCCAGCCCAAGCCCCCAGCCCAAGCAGCCAGCCCAAGCAGCCAGCCCAAGCCCCCAGGAGGTCCTGCGGCGCGTAAATGCAGGAGCGAGTCAAGCGGACGGAGGCGCGCCACGGAAGGGTGCACCGTCCGGCCAGTCCGGCCCTCGGCAAGCCCAGCCTGGCCGTCGGGCTGCGGCAGACCAATTGTCAGAAAGCTTTTAAGCGGCGCGGGGCGCGGAGCGCGGGGCAGTGGTCACTGCCAGTGGTGGCGGTGGCCGGGAGTCGGCCTTGGCTGCGGCAGGCTCTGCAGGGCGTCGCACGAGGGAGGCGCGGCAGCGCGGCAGCACGGAGGGGCTGCAGCCGAGCACACGCGAGCCTGAGTCCGGGCGGGAGGGGGCGTCCCGCCTGGGTGCGACAGAGACAGGCCGACGGAGCCCCCCTTCGGAGTCAGCCCGCTGTCTCGGCTGGTTTACGCCGCCCCTTCTCAAGCCGGCCGCGCCCGGCCGCGCCAGCCGACAGCGGGGAGGGCGGGCCGCACGCTAATGGCCGCGCACTAGAGTACAGTGTACACGCTGCGCGCTGCGCCCAAAGCGCGCTCCCCGAGTGTGATTTCGGACAGCCAGAACGGCCTTCTCACTAGCAAGGCCGCACGTGGAGATCAAAGCACACTGTGCCCGCCCCAGCTGCAGCCCGCCTGCAGCCTGCACAGCGCCGGCCCGCCGAGCGCGGCTGCCTTCCCGCTGCCTACCTGCCCGGCGCGCTCATGCGGCGCTTGGCGGCGTGGCGTGGCGGCGTGGCGTGCTTGATGTGCTCGCTGCTCGTTCGTGACGACGACGCGACGTCGTGCTGCCTTTGAATGCCTTTGCCGGTACCTTCCGGCTACGAACACGCCGCGCTGCCTGGAGCATGCTGGGAGGGCCGGGTCCACAGGTAGCTTTAGTCCTTTTCATGCTCTCCCACTCGCACTGCTCTGGAGCCTGGGGCGCACGCTTGGCCGCCTCTCCGACGACGACGACGACGACCATCCAATCCTGCTGGAAACCAATCTGCGACGCACGCGGGAAGGGAGGGGATGACCTGGACGACTCTCTCTCTCTCTCTCTCTCTCTCTCTCTCTCTCTCTCTCTCTCTCTCTCTCTCTCTCTCTCTCTCTCTCTCTCTCTCTCACACACCTACACACACACACACCCACAAACGCGCCCTTGGACGCTCATGGCCACACGCAACGCGCGTACACTCTCTCACACACACACACATCAGCCCATCTCTACTTTAATTAAAACTTTCCGCCGGCGCACCCTGGGCCGCTCTGTGAGGAGATGTCGGTGGTGAAGCTCTTCCTGTTGATGTGGGCATGCGGCGGCCATGCCTAGCACACGCCACCTCGCGGCCTGGACCTCGCCCACCGTCGCCACGAGCAGCACTCCCTCCTCAAACACTCACTCACACACGCTCACTCACACGCTCACACCGACACACACGTGCCGGCGAGGGCGCGCCGACGAATCCGCCACCGCCACTTTGCTGTTGACACGTTTTTGTGGCATGAAAACCTGTTTGCCTGGCATTGCTCTCGGCGTCCGGTTTGAAGCAGCGCGCCCTCTGCCGCCGCGCTGCCGCCGCCGCCCCGCTGACCCCACTGAGAGAAAGGGGGCGGGGGTTGGGGGCAAACGTATTACACGCCGCTGTCTGCCGCCATCCGCAAAGCGGTGTCTCTTTCGCGATAAATCACAAAATGCAACACCCTCCTGGTGGCGCGGCCCGGCCCGGCCCTGCGCCTCTCCCTGTGTGTACACGGGGCAGCGCGGCGTAATAAAAATCAAGGTGAAAAGTGTGGACGCTGGCGCCCCCTCCCCCTCCCCCCGCCCCGGGATTGAAAGCCCCGAAAACAAGACCGCCTCCCCGCGGTCGGGATTTATTCGTTATTCTTTAGCGTCGCCCCGCGGCCAGTCGTAAATAACGTCGAAGCTCGCTAAGCCGCGGCCAGCCCCGCCAGCCCCGCCACCGACTTGTGAGCGTCGCGCTTACTCGCACCCCTCTGAAAATATGGCCCCTTGCGTGGTTCAATCGACAGAAATAATACAATAAAATAATAATTAAAATACTAAATAAATAAAGAAGGCGGCGTCCTGCGGACTAGTAAACGACGGGTTCATCGACAACACTGAACGGATTGGACGGGCCGGCCGGCCCGCACTGCCGGGCACTGCCTTGTTGAATTAGCGCGGGTCGTTGTTTGCATAACTTGATGGCTCGGGTCCCCGCCGTCCCCGCCGCGGCGCCGCGGCCCCCCCTCCGCCCCCGCCGCCCGGCCTTGGTGCTGGCTGGCCAGGCTGGCCGATGACGTCACGGTGCATGGCGTCCATGGCGGTCGCTGCTGGCTTTTTGCGGCCGCTTCTTATGCAGCCGGGCACAGCGTTGCAGGCGCCTTGATTTGGCCTTCCCCGCCTCGCCCCGCCCCTCGCTCGGCGCGGCTCTGCGTCCCCGCCGGGAATCCCTCGGCCCAAGTCGAGGC